ACGAAAAGCTCAAGAACTTGAAGAAGATGAACGAGCGCATCGCCAGCAGTACATATGAGGAAGCAAAGCGAGATTTGCTTGCCACACGCGAAAGGGCGCCGGATAAGGCGTGGAAGACTTTGCTTACAGACAAGCAGCGGTCAGAGGAGTATTCGAAGCCAGTGGGAGGATCAGATCCAAGGCCCACTGGGTCGGTGCAGTGCATGGTGACATCGGTCGGAGACGCTCAGAAGCAGCTGGAGTCTCGGCCGAACGACGTAGAGGCGCAAGACGTGGAGGCGCAAGACGTAGAGGCGCAAGACGTTGAGGCGCAAGACGTAGAGGCGCAAGACGTAGAGGCGCAAGACGTAGAGACGCAGGACGTAGAGGCGCAAGACGTAGAGGCGCAAGACGTAGAGGCGCAAGACGTAGAGGCGCAAGAGTTAGAGGCGCAAGACGTAGAAGCGCAAGGCGTAGAAGATAAGGAAACGAGAAGGGCGATACTGGTTAGCACGGAAGAAGTAAGCGGCGAGACTGTGTGGAACACGGAGATCGAATGTAGGTTATCTGGTCCAGCGTCCGCCCCACGAGGCAGTGGCCCAGTGACTGTGTTGTGTGTGACAGCCCAGATCGGCAAGCTTGGTGTTGAGACTGTTGAAGTGAAGCCGTTCGGTGCGGAATCAAGCCAACAGTGGATGGACAAGTTCGCCATCACGATCCTGGGTAGCTCCGCAGTCATTCCGGTATGTGCTCTCATGAAGCCAACGTTAGAGCTTGATCTGAAGTGCGCGAGTCCGCAGACCATAGCTCAGTTGGCAGAAATGGTGAGCACTGGTAATATTCCACCTTGGCCACCCCCACAGCAGCGGATTACTCGTTCTGGGCGTGTAGTCAGAGCCCCGGTCGTTCGACTTGTGAGTTGTTGTACGGCGGTGAGAAGCCCTTTGGTGGGGAGAATGTTGTGAAACGACAAGTTCTCGAGAGTGAAAGGCCTTCTCGCTTGTGACATTGTGTTCGTTTCAATGCAGCTGTATCCCGACTCCGCCGTACCCGCTGATGTTTACAACGTTGTATACGCTACAGGCGCTAAGTGCGGTTTGCTGTGTGCGCTGTACTTGTATGTTGTATGCGTATGCTTTTCGCATATACGCTATCATTTTCACGCTATAACTACCTGGTGGTTTTAGTTTTAGTTTCAGTTGTTCTTTCAGTTGTTAAGTCAATCATTGTTCATTGTTGTTAGTCGATGGAAGTGAAATATACTGTCGAGAATAAATAGTTGTCCTCGTGCCGTGTGGGGTCGTTCGTTGCTGACACTTAAGAGAACCAGAGGGTTCACAACACCAGCTAACCAGTATGACTACCAAGCTTACCAGTATGACTACTCAGCTTACCAGTATAACTATCCAACTAACCAGTATAACTACCCAGCTAACCAGTATAGCTACCCAACTAACCAGTATAACTACCCACTGTACCCAGCTAACCAGTGTGACTACCTAGCTAACCAGTATAACTACCCAGCTTACCAGTATAACTACCCAGCTAACCAGTATGACTACCCAGCTAGCCAGTATAACTACCCAGCTAACCAGTAAGACTACCCAGCTAACCAGTATGACTACTCAGGTTACCAGTATAACTACCCAACTAACCAGTATAACTACCCTGCTAACCAGTATAACTACCCAGCTAACCAGTATAACTACCCAGCTAACCAGCATGACTACCCAGCTAACCAGTATAACTACCAAGCTAACCAGTATGACTACCCAGGTAACCGGTATGACTACCCACCTAACCAGTATGACTACCCAGCTAACCAGTATAACTACCCAGCTAACCAGTATAACTACCCAGCTAACCAGTATAACTACCCAGCTAACCAGTATGACTACCCAGCTAACCAGTATAACTACCCAGCTAACCAGTATAACTGACCAGCTAACCAGTATGACTACCCAGCTAACCAGTATGACTACCCAGCTAACCAGTATGACTACCCAGCTAACCAGTATGACTACCCAGCTAACCAGTATGACTACCCAGCTAACTAGTATAATTACCCAAGTAACCAGAATGACTACCCAGCTAACCAGTATAACTACCCAACTAACCAGTAAGACTACCCAGCTAACCAGTATAACTAGCCAGCTAACCAGTATAACTACCCAGCTGACCAGTATAACTACCCAGCTAACCAGTATAACTACACAGCTAACCAGTATAACTACCCAGCTGACCAGTATAACTACCCGGCTAACCAGTATGACTACCCACCTAACCAGTATGACTACCCACCTAACCAGTAAGACTACCCAGCTAACCAGTATAACTACCCAGCTAACTAGTAAAACTACCCAGCTAACTAGTATAACTACTTAGCTAACCAGTATAACTACCCAGCTAACCAGTATAACTACCCAGCTAACCAGTATAACTACCCAGCTAACCAGTATAACTACCCAGCTAACCAGTATAACTACCCAGCAAACCAGTATAACTACCTAGCTGACCAGTATAACTACCCAGCTAACCAGTATGACTACCCACCTAACCAGTATGACTACTCAGCTTACTAGGATAACTACCCAACTAACCAGTATAACTACCCACCTAACCAGTATAAATACCCAGCTAACCAGTAAAACTACCCAGCTAACCATTATAACTACCCAGTTAACCAGTATGACTACCCAGCTAACCAGTATAACTACCCAGCTAACCAGTGTGAGTACCCAGCTAACCCGTATAACTACCCAGCTAACCAGTATAACTACCCAGCTAACCAGTATAACTACCCAGCTAACCAGTATAACTACCCAGCTTACCAGTATAACTACCCAGCTAACCAGTATGCCTACCCAGCTAACCAGTATAACTACCCAGCTAACCAGTATAACTGACCAGCTAACCAGTATGACTACCCAGCTAACCAGTAAAACTACCCAGCTAACCAGTATAACTACCCAGCTAACCAGTATAACTACCCAGCTAACCAGTATAACTACCAAGCTAACCAGTATAACTACCCAGCTAACCAGTATGACTACCCAGCTAACCAGTATGACTACCCAGCTAACCAGTATTACTACCCAGCTAACCAGTATAACTACCCAGCTAACCAGTATAACTACCCAGCTAACCAGTATGACTACCCAGCTAACCAGTATGACTACCCAGCTAACCACTATAACAACCCAGCTAACCAGTATAACTACCCAGCTAACCAGTATTACTACCCAGCTAACCAGTATAACTACCCACCTAACCAGTATAACTACCCAGCTAACCAGTATGACTACCCAGCTAACTAGTATAATTACCCAAGTAACCAGTATGACTACCCAGCTAACCAGTATAACTACCCAACTAACCAGTAAGGCTACCCAGCTAACCAGTATAACTACCCAGCTAACCAGTATAACTACCCAGCTGACCAGTATAACTACCCAGCTAACCAGTATAACTACCCAGCTAACCAGTATAACTACCCAGCTGACCAGTATAACTACCCGGCTAACCAGTATGACTACCCACCTAACCAGTATGACTACCCACCTAACCAGTAAGACTACCCAGCTAACCAGTATAACTACCCAGCTAACTAGTAAAACTACCCAGCTAACTAGTATAACTACCTAGCTAACCAGTATAACTACCCAGCTAACCAGTATAACTACCCAGCTAACCAGTATAACTACCCAGCTAACCAGTATAACTACCCAGCTAACCAGTATAACTACCCAGCTAACCAGTATAACTACCTAGCTGACCAGTATAACTACCCAGCTAACCAGTATGACTACCCACCTAACCAGTATGACTACTCAGCTTACTAGGATAACTACCCAACTAACCAGTATAGCTACCCACCTAACCAGTATAAATACCCAGCTAACCAGTAAAACTACCCAGCTAACCATTATAACTACCCAGTTAACCAGTATGACTACCCAGCTAACCAGTATAACTACCCAGCTAACCAGTGTGAGTACCCAGCTAACCCGTATAACTACCCAGCTAACCAGTATAACTACCCAGCTAACCAGTATAACTACCCAGCTAACCAGTATAACTACCCAGCTTACCAGTATAACTACCCAGCTAACCAGTATGCCTACCCAGCTAACCAGTATAACTACCCAGCTAACCAGTATAACTGACCAGCTAACCAGTATGACTACCCAGCTAACCAGTATAACTACCTAGCTAACCAGTATAACTACCCAGCTAACCAGTATAACTACCCAGCTAACCAGTATAACTACCCAGCTAACCAGTATTACTACCCAGCTAACCAGTATGACAACCCAGCTAACCAGTATTACTACCCAGCTAAGCAGTATAACTACCCAGCTAACCATTATAACAAACCCACACTTGCATCAGACACAACCATTGGAAGCATCGAACTATTTAGAAGACTATATTACCAAACATGTTCTCAAAACACCATTGAAGAATCTTTCTCAAAAAAGAACAAAGGACGGAGAGCTGAGGACGCACGTACCCGGCCCCGTACCGGACACACAGCCAAGAAGGACGACACTGTAGCATCCCCACGCTTGACAGGCAAAGAAAACAGCAAGCAAAGAAAATCGGCCAGCGGGCGCAGTTCAAACATCTTGAACGACACGCTCAAAGCAAAACACGTGACAGAAAATAATGCATGATGTCATCTGTACTCACGAGGACATGCAAAAAAGGTCAAATCTACACAAAAGCGAGTGCCGCAAGAAACAACACAAATAAATAATCATTCAAACTGCGAAGAACTAGAAAGGCAGATTTCTAATTATCGAAGAACAAGAATGTATCGTAGAGCCCCAGAGCAACTGCCGGAGGATGCTGGCACCCACCAGACGGGTGGTGGTTGCCCCTGCCAGAGAAACGCACAAATTAAGAATAATCGAGCAGTGTCCAATTACGACATACGGAGTAATATACATGTTAAACGAAGACAAACACTAACAAATGGAGAACGTTCCAACATTTCCCCTCTCACGAACGACTCCAGACTAATCGGAAGTCGTGAGATCATTATACGGACCGGTATCTTCATCGATGGGTTCAACTTCCAACGGCACCAACTGCGTTATCGGCCGCTTGGACTGCTTGGCACCAATTCTGATGTTCACTACACGGACCAATCCATCAGATCCGGGGAACACTTCTATCACTTTGGCTAGCGGCCAACGCCCTCTTGGAGTAGACTTGTCCATGCAGAGGACAATGTCACCGGGCTTCATGTTGCGGCTGCGTCGAGACCATTGCTGAAGCACATTCAGCCGAGGCAATATTTCTCGAAGCCATCGCCGCCATACCTGGCGTAGGAGCTGTTGGAGGAGCCGCCAACGACGCTGTGGGTGCAACTCAGCGACTTCTTCGAGTGGCAGAGTCAGCTCGCACTGTCCAGCTAGGAAGTGCATCGGTGTTAGTGGTGCGGCGTCATCCACGTCAGTCCGGACAGCGGTCAACGGACGCGAGTTGAGCAGGCCTTCCGCACTCACCATGGCAGTTACAAGTTCCTCATCAGTGAGATTGGCCTGGGACAGAGTTGCCATCATTGCGCGCTTTGCTGCCTTGACCACAGACTCAAATACGCCGCCAAAGTGCGGAGCGAGAGGCGGATTGAAGCGCCAGTGAACTCCTTGGCTGGCCATACTTGCAGCCACTTCATCAGAACCTAGCGCTTGAACGGCTTCTCTTAGCTCGCGCTCTGCACCGACAAAGTTCGTCTCGTTGTCTGACACGACCTCAGCTGGCACGCCTCTGCGCTTGCAGAAACGGGTGAATGCTAGCAGAAACGACTCGGTGTCCAGGCCATACGCCATCTCGGAATGACAGGCTCGAGATTGCAAACAAGAGAAGACACAGAGGTACCTCTTGAGCTGGGTCTTGCCACGTCCTTGTTTTGTTCGGAACGGACCGGCATAGTCAACTCCCACTCTTGAAAATGCCCGGTACGGTGGAGCTGTTCGGAATAGCGGGAGCGGTGCTATCTGCTGCGAAGCCACAGTGGCCCACTTCTTCTTGCAGAGCACGCAGTGTGCACGGTGAGATCGTGTGACAACCTTGCCACGGATGATCCAAAACCGCAGCATCAGGTTTGCCAAGAGGTGGTTTGGGCCAACACTGTGGTCACACTTGCGATCTTCGGCGTCGACTATCAGCTGAGTAATCCGATGGTGCTGTGGCAAGATTATCGGATGCCGGGTATGCTCAGGCAAGTGGCTGGCAGTCTTCAGACGACCTCCAACGCGTAGTACACACGGGTAATCCTTGTCGAGCACTGGATTCAGCCGTAGCAGCGGGTCATTCGCTGCAAGGGACTTCCCTGACGTCAGCTGCCGATACGAAGCGGGATAGCTCTCTGCTTGTGCGATCGCATACCAGTGACATTCGGCACGCTGGAGCTCATCAGACTTCAGCTCCACAGAGTCGACTGCTGCACTCGCTGCTTCCGGATCCCCTCTCGTGCTAGCATGACGTCGACGACACCGGTTGATGAAACGGTAGCACCAGGCCGTCACTCATACTAGTCGTTTCCATGACGAGTAGTTGTCGGGGTGGAGACGAAACACCTCCGTTGACACTTGCTGCACAGCGAACGCCATCACTTGCGCTCGCTTTACCATTCCGGGCAACTCTTTTGGCAAGGTTATCTGACGAGACGGCCACTCAGTGTGCTGCTGGACGAGGAACTCAGGGCCGTTCCACTATACTGAATCACTGGCTAGCTGGGCTGCTGTCAAGCCTCTGGTGCCCTTGTCGGCTGGGTTCAGCTTTCCAGGAACGTGGTTCCACTGGCTGCCAGCTGAATACTCTTGTACTTCAGCTATCCGGTTGCCCACGTCGACTTTAAACTTTCTGGAATGTGCTCTCGCCCAGTGAAGCACGTTCATCGAGTCGGACCAGAAGGTGGCATCAGCCTGCGGCAGATCTAGCGCGTCATTCACTGTCTTGGCCAGGCAAACACCAAGCACATCACCCTTCAGCTCCAGCTTCGGGATCAACATCTTCTTAATGGGACATGGACGCGCCTTGGCTAGTGCTAGCGTCACTCGCACATTGCCATCTGGGAACTCAGCACGGACGTACACGTTAGCGGCGTAGGCGGCATCTGAAGCATCCGTGAACACGTACAGCGACAATGTAGCGACAGACGACTCGCGACCCGGACACTTGAAGCAGCGCGGCGCACGGATCAGCGCCAGATCTCCCAGCTCGCTGAACCAGGACGTCCATCTCCGCGTGTGCTCAGCGTCCAGTGGATCATCCCAGCCCACGCCGAGGATGCACAGCTCCTGGAACATGACACGAGAGCGAATCGTGAAGGGAGCTAGTTGTCCGCGTGGGTCGAATATAGATGCCATCTTACTCAGCACGGCTCGCTTGGTCAGCTTCTCTGTTGCGGGCGGCTTGAACTCAAAGGCGAAGGTATCATCCTCTGCCGACCACATCACGCCTAGCGTCTTGACTGATGGTAGCGCACAGTGATCATGATCATTGATGCTAGCTACGAGCTGCGGTGAGCGGTCAGCTTCCGGTACGCCGTCCATCACCTCCGAGCTATTGCTGAGCCACTTGCGGAGGTGGAAGCTGCCCTGCTCAAGGATGTCCTGTACTGTCTGCTGTGTGCGGATGGCTTCCGGTACGGAGACAGCAGAGTGCAGCAGATCATGCACATGCATGTCTCGGTCAACGATCTGCAACATGGCTGTGTCATACTTGTCGGCTGTCTCGCGGCACACCACTTGTAGCGCCTTGCATGCCAGGTATGGAGCGCCTTGATGCCGAACACCAACCTCTGGAACTCGTATACGCGTGAGTCCCACACAAAGCGATGATATCGGCGGTCTTGCTCAGCCAGCATGACTTGCAGGAACATCTCGGTAATGTCCGCCGTGAGCGCTACTGGCTCCTTGCGGAACCGCAGAAGCACTTTCACTAGGTCATTCTGCAGAGCGGGTCCAGCGTACATACACTTTTTGCTCGACGTGCCGTCATACTTGGCAGCAGCATCAAAGACGACACGTACCTTCGTGGTGGCCTTGTCGTCTCGTAGAATGGCGAAGTGCGGCAGGAACCACTGGTCGTCGCCATCTGCCTCAAACCTCTGCTGCCGACACTGCGTGCACATAGCCTTTGTCAATGTGGCTACGGATGACCTTGCCGTATGCTGCCTTCAGCTCTGGACGCTTGTCCAGCGATTTCTCTAGCATGCGCAGGCGATGGTCCGCCATGGCGCGATTAGCGGTGACACCAGGCTCGCCGTTGCTGTGGACCCATGGGATTGCCATGGTGACTCGCTGATCATGGAAGCTGATGGATTTCTCAACGATCTCCTCAGCCAGCTTCTCTGCAGGGGTGATGTAGGTGCCTTCGTGCTTCATACCGACTGCCTCCAGATTTTAGAAATTCTGGACCAGGCTGTCTATGCTGCATTCGCCGTATAAAGCATGCACGAAGTTGACAGACAACTCGTCATCACTGGGTCCACTGGGCGTTGGGCCCATACACACCCATCCCAGTGGCGTCTTGCGGGCAATTGGTCCACCGCTGCTGCTTCTGTACTCCGCGAGTGATGCGTGGGCATCAATGACGTCAAGACCAATCAGGAGGTCGACCGTGGTGCTGTAGATTTCGGGAAAGTCTATGAACTTCAGATGTTCATAGCTGGACTTGTACCGGCGCCAGTCGACGACCTGCGTCTTCTTGGTCACACGATCATATACCCATGCCTTGAGCGGGTATGACACTGTTCCATCAATGGATTCCATCTGCACCTTGACCAGTTCCCGATAGCCGGAGGTCTGCTGCGCACCAATCGTGGATGTGTTCAACATGTGAACTTCACCTGCCATGTCCAACTCATGGGCTACATCCTCCCGTATGAAGCTTGCAGTCGAGCCTGAGTCCAGCATGGCCGTACAGATTGCCGACTTGCCAGTTGGGCCAATAATCTTCACTGGCACGGTAGCGAAAGCGGTAGTCTGCGGCGCGCTGACACTAGCATGGTGAGAACTTTCCTGCCGAGGTGCCGTAGCTGCTGGTCGCATCGTAGCGGGATTCTGCGCTGCAGCTTGTGGCTGCACTGATTTGCTGTAGTGCAGAAGTGAGTGGTGCCTCTCTCCACAGTGGCAATGTTCCAGCTTCTGGCACTCACGCGCCCAGTGTCCATGCTCCAAACAACAGCTACACAGCTTGGCGCGCTTGACCAGGTCCCAGCGGCGCTTGGTTGTCAGCGCCCTGAATTCCGGACACTCTGCTGTGGCATGGCTCTTGCTGCACTTGGCACACTGCTGAGTACTGAGCTCCACAGCATACACAGCAGATGACCTAGGCTTTGGCGGGACCGCAGGAGGTGTCTTGTTCAACTTCTCTGTGCCGACTGTCGCCAAGATGTCATCGGCTCGCTTAGCGTTCTGGACCCGTTTTACCAGCCAGAACGACAACGTGGTTGCGTTGCATTTGCTGTGTGGATGTTGTCCGTAAAATCGTATAACTACACTTCTGGGTAGCTTCTCCAGCGCACTTAGGAATAGCTTCCTACCAGGGGTCTCTCCAGCCAAGTCCAGGTTCATGAGCACATTTCTGAGCTTGACAGCAAACTTCCAGACAGACTCGGTGTCCCTGTCAGAGGCAATGTGTGGGTGATTCAGAATCTCTCTCTCTTGCAAGGCAAGATGGCGATCGGAACCACCAAACCAGCGCTCAAGCTCCGTCCAGGCTGCAGTGTATGCACCTGGACCGTCGAACATATCCGCGATAATGTCTTCGGCCGAGCTACCCTGCAGCGCCTCCTTCAGTCGTACCACTTTATATTCGTCAGAGACGAAGCGGTCCTCGTCCACGAGGCGCTTAAATGTTTGTTTCCACCGTACAAACTGCTGGGTCCTGCCACTAAATTTGGGCAGCTCTAGTGGCTTCAGATGGTGAAAAGCGCTTCCTCCATGTGGCCATTGCATACTGGCAAGCCAATCGCTAACATGGGGGTCAACAGCAGATTCCGTTAGAGGAGACCACTCAGAAAGTCTACTGGCAGGAGCACTATAACCAACTGACATCACACTTAGTCTGCTGCTCAGACTACGTTGCTTTGGTGGTGGTGTTGGCCGTGTGCGTGGTGCTGGTAGAGGTGGCACAGGCCGCATGTGCGGTGGTGTTAACGGTGGCACAGGGGTAACCTGTTCTGCGACTGCTGATTGTTGGCCTGATGCCACTTGGCCAGAAACCGACTCAACAGGCGAATCCAAGATCGCCTCAGCAGCAGCCATCACACCAACACTCTCCTTATCAAACTTCGCCTCCCACTCGTCCAACTCATTCAGCAGTTGCTCACTCTCTTGGGATCCCAACATACTGCGCATAATTTCTAAAACCAAATTTAGCTCTGACCGTACAAATTCCAATTCACGGACATCAGACTGCAAATATCGGCGAGACGGCAAGGAGCAAGCAATCAGAGTTCGCAAGCGGTTACTGATCCGCGTGTGGCGTCTACGGAGGTTTGTTCTCCGACGAATCAACTCTTTCCAGCGGTCCTCAAGTTCCTCAACAGGAGTTTCACCCACGCTCATACCATAATGGCGTGGCGTAAAACTACGAGTCACAAACTCTGGTGGTGGCGGAAACGCCATTACCACCGCTGACACTAATAGTCGAAACCTGTCGGATCCGGCTCGAAGGACGAAATGGTTCACCGGTTCCCTCGCAAACCCACACTTGCATCAGACACAACCATTGGAAGCATCGAACTATTTAGAAGACTGTATTACCAAACATGTTCTCAAAACACCATTGAAGAATCTTACTCAAAAAAGAATAAAGAGCGGAGAGCTGGGGACGCACGTACCCGGCCCAGTACCGGACACACAGCCAAGAAGGTCGACACCGTAGCGTCCCCACGCTTGACTGGCAAAGAAAACAGCAAGCAAAGAAAATCGGCCAGCGGGCGCAGTTCAAACATCTTGAACGACACGCTCAAAGCAAAACACGTGACAGAAAACAATGCATGATGTCATCTGTACTCACGCGGACATGCAAAAAAAGGTCAAATCTACACAAAAGCGAGTGCCGCAAGAAACAACACAAATAAATAATATTTCAAACTGCGAAGAACTAGAAAGGCAGATTTCTAATTATCGAAGAACAAGAATGTATCGTAGAGTCCCAGCGCAACTGCCGGAGGATGCTGGCACCCACCAGACGAGTGGTGGCGGCCCCTGCCAGAGAGATAGAACGAAAACTGAAGCAGAGGAGCCACGTTACAAATAGTGAAACGCACAAGGTAAGAATAATCGAGCTGTGTCCAATTACGACATACTGAGTAATATACATGTTAAACGAAGACTAACACTAACAAATGGAGAACGTTCCAACAACCCAGCTAACCAGTATAACTACCCAGCTAACCAGTATGACTACCCAGCTAACCAGTATAACTACCCAGCTAACCAGTATAACTACCCAGCTAACCAGTATAACTACCCACCTAACCAGTATAACTACCCAGCTAACCAGTATAACTACCCAGCGAACCAGTATAACTACCCAGCTTTCCAGTATAACTACCCAGCTAACCAGTATAACTACCCAGCTAACCAGTATGACTACCCACCTAACCAGTATGACTACCCAGCTAACCAGTATAACTACCCAGCTAACCAGTATAACTACCCAGCTAACCAGTATCACTACCCACCTAACCAGTATGACTACCCAGCTAACCAGTATAACTACCTAGCTAACCAGTATAACTACCCACCTAACCAGTATAACTACCCAGCTAACTAGTATAACTACCCACCTAACCAGTATGACTACCCAGCTAACCAGTACAACTACCCAGCTAACCAGTATAACTACCCAGCTAACCAGTATAACTACCCAGCTAACCAGTATAACTACCCAGCTAACCAGTATAACTACCCACCTAACCAGTATGACTACCCAGCTAACCAGTATAACTACCTAGCTAACCAGTATAACTACCCACCTAACCAGTATAACTACCCAGCTAACTAGTATAACTACCCAGCTAACCAGTATAACTACCCAGCTAACCAGTATAACTACCCAGCTTACCAGTTTGACTACCCAGCTAACCAGTATAACTACCCAGCTAACTAGTATAACTACCCAGCTAACTAGTATAACTACCCAGCTAACCAGTGTAACTACCCAGCTAACCAGTATGACTATAATTATTAGGACAGGCAGCATAAATGCTCAACCATCCAGTATGACTGCGCAGACAGCCAATACGACTGCTCAGTCAACCCGTATGAATGCTCAAACACTACGGCAAACATGACTGCTCAGACAGCCAGCATAGCTGCTCAGTCAGCCAGCATGACTGCTCGACCAGCCAGTATGACTGCTCTATCAACCAGCATGACTGCTCAAACAGCCAGCACGACAGCTCAACCAGCCAGCACACCTTGGACACTGCTTTGCTCCTACTGTATATGCGAGGATCCTTTCTTGTCGGGATATGTGTTAGGTGAGATCAGATTGATGATCACAGCAAACATGTTATCATCCAGGGCAATACAACAAACCCATGTACACGTGCGAGGATGCAGTCAACACAACAAACCCATGTACACGTGCGGGGATGCAGTCAATAAAACAAACCCATGTACACGTGCGGGGATGTAGTCAAAGCCACACGGTTGGGCACTTCCTCATATCTATTTTCTCTTGCACGCTT